TATACCAGGTCCTGTAATTTCTCTTCTTAAATGTGGTATTATTTCACAGCATAACCATTCAAATGTAGACCTGGTTAACCTAAAATGTCTTTTAAATTCAAAATCTTGCATATTTAAACATATTTCATTAAACCAATACTGAGATATTGATCTATTTAATCTTCTTAAATTGATGCACTCATTAATTTCTATTCTATTAAGTTGTAAATATAGCAAGTTTAAAGGTAAAATGTTAAAATTTTCTTCCTCTTCTTCTTGTTCAGTTTGATAAGTAGCAATTAAATTTTCTTCAAATTCATTATATTTAATAAGTATAATAATTATTAATATACAAATTGAAATTTGAAATTCCCTGTTCATTACTGAGAAAATAATATGTAATTATAAAAATTTATGTAAAATTTTAAAAGAAAGTACGAAAAAAAAAATTTTTAAAGCATAACGGTAAATCATTAATCTAATGTAACACAAAAATTTGTGAATCAAGATTGAAACGTTAATCTCAATTTCAAGCTGATCTCAATCCCAATCTCAATCCCAATCTCAATCACGGGTTTTGTGAAGACCCCCAATATTTATTTAACTGTAAATTACGTATATCTATATTCATGCAATTTTATACGAAATATTTATATAAAATTTATTTATAAATTATTCATAAATTTATATTTAAATAATTGGGTTTTATTTTTTATCACAATGGCGATGCATCACCAGTGTCACGTGATTTTATAATTCCGGCCGGAATTAAAAGATCGTCAAAGAAATCACCTTTTTTGGAAGTTTTGTGTAACAAAAACTTGAATTTTGCTGAAAACTAGAATTGCCTTTTTTGGATTGTATAACGTTACCTAAAGCTCCCAAAAAGGATATTTTGGCCAGCGTTATAAAATTTGGCTGAAATTAAGCATGTGATGTATAGGGAGTGACAAATAGTATTTTTTGCACTGAAAAAATTCGTCTTCAGAATAAATAATAAAAATGGAAAACTAGAGGATGTGATGCGGGGCGACAAATTATTCACATATGTAAAGTCACGTGACACTTGCAACACATCGCTATGGCGATTTTTTATAAAATCCTAAATAATTCTATATTTATGCTAATTTTATACAGAATATTTATAATATTTCTACGATTATATAATAAATAAATAAATAAATTATTCATATGTATTACAGATTTATAAAATATTTATATAACAGATAATAAATTTATATAGTATTATAGATATTTATAGACTCTACAAAAAATATAACTCCTGATGGATACATTAAAATCAAATTTTGAACTCAGTTAGGCAAATAGACTACTCAATTGTGAAAGGAATTACCAGATTGGGCTAACTGCTAAATTAGGCTATTTTCAGAACTAAACAGAAAAGCTTAATTTTCCTATTCAGACCCTATAAAAAATTTTTTAGAAAATTTCACATATCAGAGTTTTTTTGGAAAAAACTAGCGAGTAATCTTTTATCCAGTACCCATGGTTACATAATTGTGTGATCAGTATCATGAGTTATCTGATTGAAATCATACACATTACACATAACATTAATCAAACAGTTATAATTTCAAATAGTTAATTGACTAAAGTAAATATAGATTTAATTATAATTCATAATAAATATTAGAAGTGTTTGATAAATTATAATATTTGTATTTATATTAAAATAATAAAATAAGTAAATTTATGAAATTTCTTATTGCCCAAATCAATTAAAATAAGTTTTTATTTTTTAACAGTTTGTTTAATAATCAAATTATTCAAATAATTAATAATTTTTACTGTATATTTATGTAATATATTGAATACTGATTATTAAAGTATTGTATTTTAATATAAATGTAATAAAATTATTAAAATAAAATTGAGAAATTTAATTGTAGATTTATTGATTTATATATTTTGTACACTAATAAGTATTTTAGTTTTATTTTTTTTTTTACTAGTAAATAATAGATAAATATATTATGAAAATAGGTGGGATTTGTGTTAGATATGGATTCCAATCGTTGATATTCTAGGATTACATCAGGATCAACCATGAAAGCAGACATATCAAGATGTGATATATCAACATTATTCCAGTTAGAACATCTACTAAGTGCAACATAAGCTTGACCAGTTGAGAATATACTTTCATCCAAGGCAAGAGAGCTTCCAAAAATAATTATATAGGATCTACAAGCGTACCATGTGATCACTATGAAAAAACATTTAGTTAAGTGAAATTTATCCGATCTGCTTGTTTTACAATGCATTTTGTTTATAAATATTATGAAATTTGTTTGTAAAAAGATCGAAAATGAGTTTTCTTTTTTTAATTTATTGATCGACCTAATGAATCTCAGTATTAAGAAATTTTCTGTTTCTTGATTTTAAGATTCAAGTCTGATTAATAGTATTTTAGCATGTATAAATTTAGTGTGTATTTTAGTGTGTATAAATCTTAAGGATCAAAGTAGTATGATTCGGCAGCATATATAGTATGTGAAAAGTTTCTTAGCTTTTTTTAATATAAATAATTTTTTGGTGAGATACGATTTTTTTGATATACTTAAAATATAAATCATAGTATTTTTGCTTTAATTGGAATTTATTGTAAAGAAAATATGTAAATACATTATTTCATGAAATAAGAAAAAGTATAAAACAAAAAATAAAAATTAACAGAATTATAGAAAGTATATCTTATTAATAAAGGAAAATAAGTTTTATATAATTATTTTGACCTCTGATAGCTTTTTTTGTTTATTATTGATTTTTTTATGGTCTGGTTAAAAAAAAATATATATATATATTTTAAAAATTGAAAAAGAGAATAATAAATGTTATTATTTAAGTTTCACTAGAGGTTTCGTTTTGGGTCATGGTTGGAAGGGGGTTTTCTTGTAATGCAGACGCTAGTGATTGGCTTGAGTCTTCCTGGTGGGTGATAGCTGTGAAAGTGTAACACGACCTCTTTTTGAACATGGTGTAGATACTCTTGGCGTACGAGGTGTGTTCCTTGAACTTGTTGATTTTTGGTTCAATCATGGTAGATTAATAGATTGAGCAGATGTATTAGGTCAGTTACTAGAAATTAGTGATATATCATCTAATTTCAAGATATGTTTCCCAGGTGTAGTTTCTTCACTTGTACTAGTATCTACAACGGATTCTTGATAATAGAGTAGGCCTGCTAAAATTGCCATTGTTGACCTCATTGTTTGATTGATAGAATTAGTTTTATTGGCCAAATAATTAATATTTGAATTATGTCTCATCTCTAACCAAAAATCCTTCGTGACTGATAGACTTTTGCATAAACTTTTGGTGGTTCTATATCTCCAAGATTTCTTCCACGTGAAAGTCAAAAACAGATTCACCATCCAACATTTTTAGCAGTTTGAGTGGTCAAACCCGTCACCATTATGTTTATCCCTGCAGCTGGCATCACATTAAAATCAAGATTTGCCATAGGTTTAATGGATGTAGCGTTCACCTATTAATTCAATTTTCAAATTTAATATTTTGATGCTAATTTTTATTATATTTCATTATTTTTTTGTTTTTTAAACTAAAAAATCAATAACATACCAATATACCATGTACCATCCATTGCAGGCAATAAATTTACCTCTCAAGTAAATTACCTGACCATTTTCAAATTCTTCAATGTGTGTTTCAATTTCTTTATCCAATGGAACAAACACTTTGATTTTTAGATATATGATTTTGGTTGGGTCTTCATCGCTCAGTCTGGATATTACAGTTATTTCTTTTATGCTATATTCCTTCATCGACCTCTGGGTTGAATCATGAATGTAGCATATCGTACTCAACTTTGCTGGCATTAGAAATATAGCTAGGTGGTAGAAAAGATATGTTAAATTTTTTTTTTTTAAGAATAAAACTGTATATTTGAAAAATAGAAATATACGTTTTTTTTAAGAAAAAAAAGATTCGAGTATTTATATTAATAGATGAAGTGATAATTGGGTTTTAATTTGAAGAAAAAAAATGCAAGGTGCATGAATTTACGACATGAAATTTTTTTTATTTTAATTATGACATGAATTTTTTTTTTTATTTTAAATTAATTTAAAAAAAATTAAAAAAAGAATTAAAAATAATATTTTAATTAATTAATGCAAGAAGTTCTTTCATTAAGTTAAAGTTTTTAAAAAATATGATAAAAGTGGATTTTTTTTAATAATCATTCTTCGTTTTGTTTTAAAAAAAATTTTTATTTGATATTTGATAATGAAAGATCTAATTTTTTTTTCGATAATAAAATAAAGGAGTCTGATCGCTGGAAAAAAACCTATTTTGGAAATATTTTTTTTTTAGAAGCACGATTAATTTATGTAATATGTAATTATTTAAGCCACATCATCCGAATTTTTCCTTTTTTCTTCTTCTACGTTTCTATCTTAAAATTTTATGACTATAGCGTAGATATTAGAAACATCAATCTTGGGAAGAAACATAAACAACTTACATATTTGGAAATAATTTATATTTTGATTAATGTAATATTTGTATTATAGCCACACCATCTGATCATATACGCCTTTTTGTAATTATTCATTTATACCTTTATGGAAATTGGAACAGCCAAATAAAAGTTGCGAAAAAAATAAATTTTTTTTTTTTTACACCGGTTTTTTTACATGAATTTATTTGATTCATTTATTTATGAGAATTATGAAATTTGATTGAGTAAATGAGTAAAAAAAGAGATAGGAAACAAATAAAGATTGGTTTTTTTTTCTTTTGATTTAAAATTTTTTTTATAAAGAAATAAATTTTATATTGCAAAATATACTGATTGAGTAATGTATTTTTATGAAAAAAAAAAATTTTATGCTGCAAAAATATATTTTTTGCGAAATATATTAATTTTTAAGTTAACACGTAAAGTTTTTTATTTATGAAAAAATAAATTTTATATTGCAGTATTAAACACGTTTTTTTTTTATTTTTTATATAAATTGATAGATGTTATATAATGTAATACAATATAATTTGAGTAATACGTAAAATTTTTTAATTTTATTTTTGCGTAAATATTACACAATATGTTGAGTAACAAAAAATTTTTTTTTATATTTTTTATGAAAATTTTTTTGAATAATAAATTTATATTTTTCTGTAATAAAATTGTGTAATAAATTGTGTAATAAAGTAATATTGAGTAATACATAAAAAATTTTTTCTACAAGTTTTTGTAAGTAAATATTGCGTAATATGTAGAGTAACACAATTTTTTTTTTTACTTTTTTTTTTTTAATGAAAAAAAAAAAAA